AATTGAATATCAATTCAATAAAAATTTAATTAATACAGTGAATAGCGACATCTCTCGCCAGGACTGGTAGCTGTAAAGGTACTAACTGGGTGATAAATCTGTCAAAGATTTCTCATAGATGGCGCTACGACTAAAAAGTCGTTGAAAAACTAAGTACAAAGACACGACACCAGCACATAGAAAAATTCGTGAGGTCCGTTGGTTCGTTCCGTGGCTTAGTTGGTATAGCGTCTGGCACGGTATGCAAGAAGACATCGGTTCGAATCCGACCGGATCGAAGGAATTTTTTCTGAGTGTTCGATCTTTGCATTAATAATTATAACAAACTAGTGGAGTAATTTCACATAAAATAATTTAATATCAATTCAATAAAAATTTAAGTAAATAATTCCTTGTCATCATTTACTATTCTCAGGATAACCAATACTCGTACCGCGTTGGCATTCGCCTAGCCGAGTATCGCGTAGAGGAAGGCTGCGGGAGACGGACGCTGCGTACGGACGCACGCTGGGCGTCTCACTTCTACCTGGTGCGGCGGACGAAAGATGCCACTTTTACGCTGTACGCACGCACTGAAGACTGCAAACGGAAATGGGTTAAAGCCATTCGAGATGCCATGTAAGTTATTGAAAAAAACTGCAGCACAAATAATAATAACAATCGCTATGCAGTAGAGCTCCATTTGAAAGAGTTCGTCCAGGGAAGTACTGCCACCTTACCTATTTCTGTCGCCAAGCAGATATGTCCGCATTACTGCGTTCCGGTTTGGAAGGGTAAGGGTGCTGGTGAAATTACAGGCACATGGCGACGGGCGCAGTGTCAGTGCCCGTCGGGTCTTTGCGATTTAAAGCTCTGAATGGACAGGCGTGTAGCTTACCATCAGGCGCACGACTTAAGGTCTATCCACACATATCCGGGCCGGGGCCGGGCCGGGGCCGGGACGGGCCCGCAGTTCATACAAACTAGTACGCCCCGTCCACGTCCCGGGCACAGCCCGGATATGTGTGGATAGTCTTTTATTCGTCGCGTCTCTTGATGTTATAAAAAAAGATTGTTGCCTGACTTTGAACTTGAAATTTAAGTGCCAAGTTGAACGAAATATTTTTTTTGCAGCGATAATTTGGAACCGGCAGGCTGCCGCAGCACTAACCACAAGTTCGTGCTGCACACGTTCGAGAAGCCCGCCACCTGTCATCACTGCTCCAAATTCCTCAAAGGCAGGATATTTCAGGTCTGTACAGTGAAATAGGTGCATGAAATACATGTCTTTCTTCGAGGCCTTATCCCTTATAAGATGTACTCAGTTCTACACATGGAACCAAATACTGTCGTAATTCGAAATTGTGGAATTGAGAAAACACGATTTAAAAGTTATAAAAAATACGGAATGAAACCAATAAACACATATTCACGTTTATAAATGGATAACTAAATATTATGTATAAATAGCAACAATCGCTGTACGGTCTATGACCGACAATGCGCACCATCAGCACTTTACGCCATATTGTAATTTAAATCAGTTCACAATCAGCCATCGCGCAGTGTACTCATTTCACACCTATCAAATGTATCATTATTAGTTGTAAATCAATACTAATAAACATTCTTAACAGTTATCATACTATCATTTATAAGTGTATGGAACACCGTACATCTTTTTGGTCTTTCGTAAATTGATAGCCACATGATTTTTCGCAATAAGGTCCGTTGAGATTTTTTTTTAATTTTCAAGTCGTGTATTCTCAATTGCACATTTTTTAGTTACGACAATATTTGGTTGCATGTGCGATATATAAAGAAGCCTTACATACACACTCACTCCAATACGCACGCATACTTATTTTAGATAGATGTACACTGTATTGCTCACACTCAAAAACAAGAATAGTATATAAGTAAACAACTTAAAACTAATGTGGGCAAAGGCGGTCTTATCGCTAATGGCGATCTCTTCCAGACAACCTTTGAGGAAAGCTAATCGAAGTGGGAGACGTTTAGTTTATTTTTGTTTTGCATTTATTTTAAGTTCTTATTTGTTTCTATTACGTTTAATTTAGTTTTTTATAGTGTGTACAGTATTGTATGTCTAATTTGACTTTTGTTTTAGGGCTACCTGTGCACGGTGTGCAATGCGTGCGCGCACAAGGAGTGCATCGCGCTGTCGGGGCGTTGCGGCGGTGGGTTGGCCGTGGCGCCGCCGCTTCCCCCCCACAATCACCTCCCCGACCAGGGCCTGCACTACTATATGTGGTCAGTATAACTACTCTACAAACGTGTTTATGCTACAATCATAGACACTGGCTGCTTTCCCTGTAGTGTTAAATGGGTTAACGCTTCAAATCTGCAGATGGGGTGTGAAAAATAAAATTCCAGAAACAATGTCGATCCAGTTTGGTGGTCATGGAATTATTATTATCATTAATATAAGTAAAATATGTAACAATATCACATAATTCGAAAAGACATGAAACATGGAATACTTGGAAATTTAAAGTTTTTAAAGATATCGTCAGCCGTCCTTTATGCGAATAGATTTATTCAGAAACATAACATCGAGCACTTTCTGGTCTATCTTAAGTGAGAAATAATAATGAAAATGTCAATAAAATTGATAACATTGACAGGTTCGTTGGTGAAATGGGCCGCGAGGTCGCGACGACGCGGTTGCAGCGGCGACTCGAGGGCACCTTCCTGCTTCGTCTCAGGCCGAATCCCACGCACATCACCGACACCGACACTGACTACGCGCTCTCACTCAAGTGAGTAGCAACTTCTTTATGAGCTCATTAAATATAGTGGTTTTTTTATAAAGTAACGATGTGTTGATAACGTTAAATTCACACAATATATAATCAATAACACATTTTAGCCTTTACGCAATAGCACGATAGTTAATTTTTTTGAATGGCAACACCTTTGTTTACATTTTTTATCTCAAATTCCATTGCCGAGTTTAGACAGACTCTTAGGGTGATATTCTAGAACTCTACTTAATGCTCAAGTCAGGATTTAAGTATGGTTTAAAGCACTCGAAATCGTACTCAAGTCCCTGCCATTAGGGTCGTATTCCCAGTGCTTGAAATCATACTCTGATCCTGACTTGAGCATTGAGTAGAGTTCTGGAATACGGCCCATAGACTCATTTATACAGCACTTGTTGAAAGTGGTAGCCGTCATAATTAATAACTAATTTAGAAAGAGCCAGTAACAAAACTTACTCACTGACATCAACTCACCGCAAATTAATATTTAGAATGACATTTTGGAGTTCATCGTCATCAGGGATGACCTTGACTGCGCCACCGGACAAAACCAACAAGCACTTTTTTATTTGGAGGATACTGCAGTTGGCCGCTGATGGCCTAGACTGCGCTATCGGAGAAACCAACAAGCACACTTCACGAAAACCTTATACAATAGGTCACATGTAAACAAAGTGCTAGCGCGTTTTAGCATCCAAGTAGTGCCATCTAGTATCGACGCGTGGTACTAAACTCCTTAAATAAATAAATCGCGACAAAATATATGCTGTTTAGTAAAAACACGTATTGTTTCTGTGTACACTTTTCTTATTTGAATGTCCCTGACAGGACGGACAACACGGTGAAGCACATGCGCGTTTGCTGCAAGCCCATCGACCAAGTGCCGCACTACTTCCTCTCCGAATCGCGCTTCTTCCGCTCCATCGTCGAGCTCATCTCCTACTACGAGAAAACCACCCTCTCCGAAAACTTTGTCGGGTATGTTACTAATACTAACCTAGCTATAGTCTGTTTTATAATACTGCTGTTATCACGTTTAAATTAACTGCTGCCATGCTGGACTGCCATGCAGAGGTCCCGGGTTCGATTCCCGGGCCGGGCGAAATATTTGTATGGCCTACATTTATTTCTCTCGTGAGTTTGGGTTGTAACTTTTGGTTGTCTATGTGTGTCCATGGCACCCGCATAGTTTCCCTAGTGCGGAGCTATGAGAGTGCGCGTTATTAAATAAAAATTAATGTCAAGTGCCTCCAACAATTAATCTTTTGAGTACTAAACGCGTTATTAATTAAATATGGCAACATTATTTTACAAAGTGACATTAATTTTGTCCAAGTAACGGAAAATTAAACTAAATTCAGACTGCCTGTCGGTAATTTTTCTTTTTTTTTAAGGTTTCTTACTATGATATGAGGTTTTTATTCTTCTAAGTCTTTAATAGCAGTTATACACTCTTTGGTAAAACTGAAATCGTCGATTTACTTTCTCAAATTCGTATCTTAAAGCACAAAATTACTGAAGTGCATAAAATGGATTGTATGTACAAATTTTGCAGGCTGATGTCACATCATATTTCCTTCATATTCACAAACTGGCTCTTACCAATTTTAAAAGTAGTGCATCCAAATTAACACCCTTAATAAGAAATTTAAAATAAATAGAAAGATTTGCCATCTTCTGAATAATCACTCTCTATAATATACAAGTTTGAAAAAGTAAGGCATCGAAATATAATTATGTACCAAAAAAAACGTACTAGCCCATTGACTTACAATTATATGGACGTCGGGTCCGCGCTAAAAAGTGTCCGAACTTATAGGGCGTTAAAATCGTATACAGAGCGTCATTCACGCTCTAGTCTTCGTTTGTTCCACTGACAGCGAAGCAAGCAAAATTAGACAGTACTGCGATGACATTACAATTTAAATTCAACGTTTTAGCTTTTTCATATTCCTTTACATGTCACTACGTTTAAATAGTTGACTTGGGACATTTTTTTCGTGGTTTTTGTATTAGACCCGTCGTCCATTTATTTGTAAGTCAATGTAGCAGCCTAATGGTTTTAACTACTGCGTGGTTTCACCTCTTAGTTTATTGGAATTTATGTGCGAAACTTAATTTGATATTTACCAAGAACTTTTCAATGACGGAAAACATTCGCATGAAACCTGCACGTCGAAGAAGGTTCACAACCCTCGGAAAATGTGTGAAGTCCCCAACCCGCATTGGGTCAGCGTGGCGAACTATTTCCTAAACCCTAAATATTTTAGTAGCAGTAGGGTTCCTTGTGAAAGAGTTTGTCCAGGGAAGTACTGCCACCTTACCTATTTCTGCCGCCAAGCAGTAATGTCAGCATTCCTGTGTTCTGGTTTAAAAGGCTAAGAGTGAAATTACAGACATATGGGACTTGTCAACTTATGTCTCAGAGTGACGGTCGCAGTGGCAATGCCCCTTAGATCTCTGTGTTTTAAAGCACTAAGTGCTACTGCAGCTGTTATGGACAAGCTGTTACCACCAGGTGAAAAAAAATCCCTCTAAACAATAGGACGTGTAAATGAGTTGATGATATAATAATAATTATTATTATAACGCACACACTCAACATAGTCCCGCACTAAGGAAATCCTGTGTTGCGAGTGCCATTGACACACACATAGACACTACTATTATCCTTTATATGTACTTCCTGTACATATAAAGGATAATAATCTCAGTACATAGTACTAAAAACCGACCTCAAAAGTGGCAAACGTGGAATTACATATAATTACCAAATTTTATTGAAATCGGTTACCGGATAGTGCGCAAACCCGGATTCATCCTCAGTTCCCCACTATACGGGACTTGACACAGGAGATAATAAAAATCGGTTCTCACTACTCAAAGTAGATTGAGAGAAAAACGCCTTGAATTGGAGAATAGCAAAATCAACCATTAAAATAATTGCTCCTTATAATAAAATTTAGGAACTATTTATAAAAATGAATCTTCATGCGTGAAGTTAGTAAAGCTTAGAGGTGGATGATTTTCTTGAAAATTAAATGGGACCTATGGAGGTAACCTCTTTCCAACAAAAAAAAGAATCATGAAAATCGGATCACAAATACCGGAGTTATCGCGTAACATACATATAAAAAACATACAGTCGAATTGAGAACCTACTCCTTTTTTGAAGTCGGTTAAAAATTAACATTGCTTTAGGCTAAATTCGAACCTGGTGTGGCCGTTCCGGCGAGTGGTGGCAACAGTAATTCACGACTTCCGTCCGCTGGAATCGTCGCAGCTGGCGCTGCGGCCTGGGGCCAAGGTGTTGGTGGTTAGCAAGGAGGGCGACAGCCGCGGCTGGTGGAAGGGTCGCACGCTGGAAAAGGTGACTTTTTTATTAAGAACTATTGCCATAAAAAGGTTTCGTTCTCACTACGACAAATCTTTCTCTTCGTATTTATCACGTCAAACCTACAGTTGTAACTAAAAAATGATGAAGTTGAGAAAACTCGATTTGATTGTTCAAAAATTCCTGAATGAAATCAATACATTTATATTCTCTTTTATAATTGGATAAATAAATCATATGTCTAAATAAAAAATATCCTATTATTTGCAATAAGATTCATCTCGTAATTATTTTCAACTTTTAAAGTGTTTTTTTTTTTTCAATTCTACAACTTTTTAGTTACGAAAATATTTGGTTTCACGTACGAGATTTAGCTATGGTAATAATAATAATAAATCGTTTATTTCTTCCTATTATACACATCATGTAGAATAGGTACTATAACAATCATAGGCAAACGTTGGGATACCGGAGCTCAAACTGGGTAAGACCTGTGCTATAAGTCTCCTGGTCTCACTGTTGCGTGCCTACCGCTTAACTGAGGCGGTTCCTTAGGTAGCTAAGCGGTGCGGGAGAAGTGTTAGTTTATGTAACAGTTATGTCGTGCTGCACACGGAATAACTTCAAGAGGATTTTTCTGACGATATACAATAACAAGTTCATTGAAAAATGTGCCTACCAAGTTTGTCAATTGTTATGTGAAACGATAATAAAAAAACATTGGCATTTTTTTCTTGTTGAAATTATACCCTGTGCAGCGCAACATAACTGTTACGAAAACTGTCACTCCTCCCGCACCGCGCACCTACCTCTGGAACCGACTCAGTTAAGGAGTAGGTCTGTAGTAGTACTCTTTACATTACAAATACTACTTTTAAGACGACATAGACACAGGAATGACAAAAATAAAAAGAAATTAAAAAACTAAAATCAATTCGTAGTGAAAATGTATATAATGTAATTAAAATGTGTACTGTATATGTGCAGTGTAATGTTATGGGATTAATGCCTAAATAAATAAAATAAAATACTTAAATACGAAATTAAACTGCTTGTATTGTGTTTTGTAGTACATTGCGTAGTAAAGTGCACAATCACGGGTGAGTTCGGTTTGTTTGAATGATTTCACACTTTCTACATTTCCAATTTTCCAACCGCTATGTGTTCAGGGCGACTACCGATCCGGGTACTTCCCAAAGGAGTGCGTAAAGGAGGACCCGGAATGCATTGGCGCGCTGGACTGATGCCAGGAGTGCCTGTTCGAGCGCGAGTACCACTACCAGCCTGCGCCGACGCAGCCGCAGCAGCAGCCGAAACCGCGGCCGCGGCAACGATCGCACTCCCAATCGCGACTGCATTCGCGTGCGTTGCCTGCGCCTGAAGATGCTGACGACCTCGTCTAAACTTCTAACATCCTAGTGCGGTATGGAAATTACGATAACGTTCATAATTTATAAACTTAAATATAGATGACGCCACTACTGCGATTATATCGAATAAAACAAACGCGTTCGCTATGTATAGGAGAACATAATTGAATATGATCTTTTACCAAAAAATGGTACCACCATCAATGTTTCCATATCGTACTTAAGGCTCATATTAATAAATAGCTCTTAAGTCAGGTTTATATCGGCTGAGATTTCACTCAGGTTTTAAGATGCGTCTCAAGTTTTTTATCGTTAATAAATAGCATGATACCATGTCAAGTGATCAACAACAACTTAATATTGAGACCTAGCTTAAGTTCTGAGTGACAATTTTTAAGAAAAAAAGAACTACTATTAAATGATATTTAATCAGTGAGTAGTTAATGTACACTTAAGTTAAATTTATTAATAATAACAAATAAGTGTAATATCGATCGTACATTTGAGATGTATTTATTAATACGGGCCTGAGAGAAAAACAGCATTAGGTAGTGTACGGTAAGTCGCTCGAACTTGTAAGTGATTTCCAGTTAGAGCCCCACCTAGGTCAATTGTACAGTTTTTGATGACAAAAATTTAGTAAGAAACGCAGAGATGTAAATACAAAGGCATACGTACCAATGGCGAACTGTGGATAAAGAATGTAAGTGCTTCACTGCAAAGCACTTACCACTGAGTTGGAGAATATTTTTCATAGGCAAGATGATGAGAGTTATGTTATATCATGGACTAATAACTCTAAAAGGACTTATGCTACTGCTAATCGCGATGCAAGACGCCGTAGTCGGGTTTTTAGTACCTATTGGCACTTCAGATGTCGCGACGAGCACCAAATAGCTTCTTCTTCTTTATTTATTTGTGGCTTATTCTGTCTTTCACAATTCCGCCAATGTGACGTAGGTAGCATATTCACGGGAGGAGTGGATTTATTTTCAAGTATAATTTTGACCCTTACTGTTGTCTCTGAGACTCGAAGCGGGTTTATCTAAAAGAAAGCACACAGCTGCAACATCACAGGACAACACAAAGCATGGCCTAATAAATCAGGGTTGTTAATAATTTTTTTAGGTAAATCAATGAATTAATGCAAGCTGTGTAGTTATAGACAGGGGTTATAAAAGTCATTAAAAATAAATAAAGAAGGAAAAGAAGGAGGAAGCAAAAAAGGTTAACATTTTACAATTTTAATTAGTTTATTGCCAAAATTATTTTTTTTACATTTTTAACGAGGAGGGCTTAGACATCTCGAGAATGCATTTTATGTTAGTTGGACGAGGGACATCTTGAGGGAGTAGTTTACAAATAGCTATTTTTGTAAATAATTTGTTTTACATTGACAAGGTACAACTTAACAAAGCTACCCTAATTTTTAGTGATAACAAACAAATCAACTAGATGGCGCCTATTGCACAGATTCTTATGCCGTATATAATTTTAATTTGTTTAATTTCTAAATGAGAAGTGTTAATTTATAAATCAGTTTTATAACACACAATGCCATCTATTGACATGCATATTTGTCAAAATTCCAAAAATTAATTTTAGTCCATGATCAACATTTCCATAATGTTAGGGGGAAACTTCTCTTGCTCTATAATATGAAATATATTATAGAACAATTAATTGATATCCACGGTCATTTACATAATAGAAGCTACTTGTGAACCGATTTTGATGATTCTTTTTTTTGTTAGAAAGAGGGTACCTCAGGAGAAAGAAGATGAAAAATATTCGACCTCTAAGGGTGGTAAACTAGGGATGAATGACTTTTGAGTTTGTTTTTTTAGTACTCTGTTCTGAGGTTAGATTATCAGAGTTACGAATCTGTAGTATGGAGATTAGGAATTCTCTTTAATTATTAGTCCATGGTTATAAAGACTCTTCGTCACTTGTACGTAAAGTTACGGACGCGGTTTCGAAAAGGATTTTTTAAAGGTTATTTAAGAAATCAAGTGATACAATATAAGAAAAAGTGTATAGTATATTTTGGCATATAAGAAAGCTTGTAATTTAAGGAGATAAGGAAGAAATTAGGTATTATGAGAGCGATAAGTCTTTGCTACTAAGCACTTTATATGCTTAGAAGAATATTCGTTTTACGAGAGATCTGAGTTTGGTGTGATTTTATGGAGGCTATTAAAGGCGCGATTCCATTGGCTAACAAGGTTGGTATTATGAAACAAAATTAGAGAATCAAGAGGGAAGTCATTTCTTTTATTATATTTTTTCCCCTCGCTTATTTTTGTTCTTAAAGTACCATGTTTAGCTTTGTGTTTAGCTAACTGTATAAGATGAAAGAATGTTTTTTCGGATTTTTATAGCCGGTTAAATATTTAACTGATAATTACAGTACAGGCACGCCATGATGGCCGTTTTGACAGATTACAATAGTGAGGTCAAATCTCAATTCATTATCGAAAAAAAATATAATCAAATGCGAGCCACATCTACGAGATAAGATTTTAGATTTATAACTAGTATTGCAAGGGGTAGCTGATTAAAAAGTTTTTATAAAACGAAAATAAAATTGTTTACTTAATATATCGTCAATTCGAAACTGCTTTGTTTGGCATTGAGCTTTGACGCGAGTTTGCCCGAGATAGAAGTTGTGCTGGCCAGCGACCCCACAAGTGACGATAGTATTGGATTTAATTTTTTTTTAAATTTTGAACAACAAATGCCGAGTTGTGCCCTAAAATTATACATTCCATAAATTTTACTGCTCACTATTGACAGCAATTAGCTCCTTCAACGTAGTTATGAATTAATACGAAACTTGATGAGCGGGCAAACGTCAAAACGGCCTTCGCAGCGTGCCGGTACTATAGTAAACGCAGTTAGTAAAACGGTTCGATTTCCAGTAGGAGCAACTTGGGAAATGAATTTTTCTAAATTGGTTCTGATCTGGGTGTCCTGAGAAGTGCCCCAGAGTGAATTTTGCACTGGTACTCATGATACAGGGAATTCCCTAGTTTGAGACCAGGCAATTGGTCTGGCACATTATTATTATTATTAATGCTCAGTGTTACATTTTAAACCACTGTTTTTACTAATTACATGTGTGAAAGACAAAACAAAAATCCCACCAGGCTGTCTTTCGCCGTACTCTGTTAGCTGTCTGATGGAATCGTACCTTTATCAAGGTTAGCGTTAATTTAGGCATGAACACGAAAAGGGTTAATCCTTCCCTCGAAACACTAAAACACATCTTACAAGTTTAACAAAAATTAATTATTTACAATACAAAGAAAAGCATTTGTTTGTGTACCACAACTGGCATCACAGAAGAAAAGAAAATAAAAACTGATAACGAGAAAGCATAAAAAACACCAAAAGAACAGAAAATAAAATTTACAACATAAAAGCGAAAATTTAAAATAAGGAAGTAAAAGAAAATAGAAACAAAAATATAATGAAAACGCAAGTTATTTACAATAACAATGACGTAGGAAATTAAACTATTTTTTCGGATCAGAGGGTCCACTCTCGTTCTCCGTACGGAGTTAAAAGACAGCTCGACTAAATTAAAAAACAATATCAAGTATGAAACTTCATCCGCATCATGCGTCTTTTAAATTGGTCGATTGTTACTTATTTGACAATAATTGTTTCGAACGTGTCGGACGGACATCGAGAGCATAAGGCCCTGAATCAGGTATATAATTGGTTTTTCAAACGTTGTTACTGAATAAAATATACGCGATTTAGATTTTTAAAAATGTTTCGTTTCCTATGTGTGAGTTATTGTTTGACGCGAGGGCTTATATTGAAACCTGGGCAAGCGAAGGAAGCTAATATTGAATTCGAAAATACATTCCTGAGTGTAGCGAGGTTTTCAAAGCACGAGACGCAAAACAACTTTGCTGCCTGCTTTTCACCCCACTATAACGAGGAAAATGGCAGATGAAAGAAAAACAATTGAATTATAAAACATCAGATTTTTGAATTAAAAGAAAAAAATATCTTATACACCCATTGACTTACAATTATATCGACGTCGGATCCGCGCTAAAAAGTGTCCGAACTTATAGGGCGTTATAATCGTATACAGAGCGTCATTCACGCTCTAATCTTCGTTTGTTCGACTGACAGCGAAGCAAGCAAAATTAGACAGTACTGCGATGACATTACAATTTAAATTCAACGTTTTAGCTTTTTCATGTTCCTTTACATGTCAGTACGTTTAAATAGGTTGACTTGGGACATTTTATTCGTGGTTTTTGTATTAGACCCGTCGTCCATTTATTTGTAAGTCAATGTATACACCTCATCAATTTTTATTCCTGCTTGTACTTTTATTTTGCGTGATTGTGAATGTGGGATGAATTAAAATAATTTCAACACAATTAGTCATCATTGTCAATTTAATGTCAACAATAATAAGAATGAAATATACAAACGGATTTATATTACATAAATGAGCAATGCACGACAAGTCGCTTATTTGAATGTGTCATTCTTACAATAATAACGCATAGAATGATAGTTTCATATCAAACGAACTGTCACA